AATTTTTAAAAATGATTAAAAATATATATATATATATAAAGAGTTTTTTTTAAACTTCAGGGCTTTATAGTGCTATCCGGAGGGCCACACTTTTGCCTGCCCACTCCCAAACTGTTAAATTGTTATTACTGAGATTCCTGGTAACCCCCTTTATGATCTCTGCATGGATTATAAAAAGTATTTTTTATAAAAAGGCAATCACCTTCTTTGAGGCCACAGCATATTTTTAGGAGATGGGCCAGGTGTGTGACCAGAGGCAGCCTGTGGTCACCATTGTCAGACCCCAGCTTGAGTGCCCAGAGATCAGAGCAAATCCTTGTCTAGTCAAGGTCTCTGGGGTTCAGGATCTAATATGGACAGATCTAGACTCAAATCTCCCTTTTCAGGTATCTAATGAGCTAAAACTTGTCTCTGTGAACCACACTGAGGACAATTTCCTACTCTATCAGGATGCAGAGACTGTCAAGCAGTTAACAGGAATGAAAACAAATGATTAAGTGCCAAGTTCAGGGGTAAAAACATAAATATTTAATATTTATGGAAGAGGGTGGATTATAAAGTGCTACCTGTGATTTGAAGGAGTAAAAATAAAATACTTGGTGAAGAGAAAGAACAAAGTAACCACCCCCCAAAATCCCACACTTGAGTCTTATTAGTGAGTCTGTCACACTGACAGAGCTCCCTCTGATCAGACTAAACTACAGGCACTTAAAGGTAGTTTATAAAGACAGAGGCAAGTCTCTAAAACCAGTTTAGGGTCATGGAAAAGACCCCTTCAGCCCATTCCTTATTCATGGCATAAGGAATGTTTGTTATTCCTAATAAATTGCTTTTGCAGATTGGGTTCCCCAAGAAGCTGCCATTAAGGCAAAGTTAGATTCATAAAGTTTACTGGGGAATAATTTTGTCAAGGGAAAAGGGGAAGGGGTATCCAACCACAGTGCAGACCTAGCAAAGTCCACACTCAAGCATGGGACCTTGGAGCAAGGTGGCCTATTGGAAGTATCCCATGTTGGACAGAAGTTGCTTAGGGCTTGGACCCGTGTCCTGCTGCAGCACCAGCGAGAGGCCATTTGGAAAAACTCAAGCCTGAGGTACATCTATCAGCTCAGCCTAGTCCTCACAGTGGGATGGAGAGTCCTCACTTGAAAGAAAACCTGGGGGCAGGGGTACACCTTCATGTTAACCACATCAACACCTTCCCCTGCATTCTGGTGTTCAGAATGTTAACAGCATAGACTCCAGGGCATGTGTGCTCTGCAAAACAACCCGCTGAGGACCTGATCTACTGTCACACTTTCCCTGTCCTGTAGAACAACAAAGCCTAGCATGGTGGCTCATGCCTCTAACCTTAGCATACCAGAGGTTGAGGCAGGAGAATAGAGAGTTTTAGGTCAGTCTATACAATAAGACCCTGTCTCAAAACAAATTAAATTAATTTAAAAGAAGCCTACAATAGAGTATTTCTTAATGATTAAATCAGACAGATATGTTGAACTCTGTAAGGTTTTATTCTTGTGTATGGGTAAGTATATACTTGTTCATGTGTGTTTGTGCGTGTGTTTGTGTGTATCTTCATGTGTGGGGGACAGAGGTCAACATCAGGTGTCTTCCTCAGTCAGTCTCTCCCTTATTTTCAGTGAGAGACGGTCTCTCACTGAACGTGGAGCTCAATTCAGCAAGGCTGGGTGGCCAGTGAACTTCAAGGATCCATCTGTTTCCACCCCTGCCAGCACTTTATGTGGATGCTGGGAATGGAACTCAGATCCTGGTGCTTATACAGTAGACACTGTCAACTAAAACATCTCCCCAATCCTCATGGTTCCTTTTTATCTTATAAGAATTACATAACCCATTATGCGGTACTTCCCTTAAGCATCGGCTGCCAGGAGTCTGATGAATGGAGGGAATTTAAGTCTGGACTTCTGATAAAAAGCATCCATAATGGGTTTTAGATGATTTTTTTTGTCTTTTTGAGACAGGGTCTCCCTGTAACCCCAGCTGGTCTAGAACTTACTATATAGGCCAGGCTGCCCTCAAACTCAGAGAGAGCCTCCTGCCTTTGCCTCCCAAGTGCTGGGATTAAAGGTGTGTGCCCCCACATCTGACATATGATTCTTGAACTTTTACCTAACTTTTTACTTCTTGTATTTTATATATTCTTCATAAATGTATTTTTGGAAATACAGAGATACAATATACAGATATGGATCTAGAAACCTAGTATGTCATTGAAGGAATTCTGGTTACACCTGAATACAAATTCTGCTTTGTCAGTTCTGCCTTTCGTTTTGCTCCAGGTCTCACTCACTCCCTTACCACAGCCTTGGTCAGGCAATGTCTGTCTTCCCATCTGCCTTAGTTTCTTTGGTTGTTACTTTGATAAAACACCACGACAAAAGCAACTTAAGGGAGAAAGGGTTTATTCTCACAATTCCAAGGTACAGTCTATCATGGTAGGGAAGTCAAGGTACAAGATGTATCCTCAAGGTAGGGAAGTCAAGGTATCCTCAAGGATAAGACAGGAACTTATCACATCTGCAATCAGGAGGCATAGAGAATCAAATGCATGCTGTTGCTCAGTTCCCCTTTCTCCATTATGCAGTGGAGGATCCCATCCAAAGAATGGTGCCATCTGCAGTGGGAAGGTCTTCCTGCTCAAATAGCATAATCAAGATACTCTTGCACAAGCACGCCCAGAAGCCCATCTCCCAGATGATTTTAGATTCTGTCAAGTTGACACTTAACACTCACCATCACATCACCACTCCATGACAACCCACTCAATGAAGTGCAATGTTCAATTTTGGGGTCTACAAAAAAGCACGAGATCTTTCGGGCGTTTGTCTGGACTGTCTCGCTGTGACTTCCACTGCAGCACACAGGCTCTGCGGTGAAGGTGCTGCATCTCATTTCTGGAGTGCACCTCCCTGCACTGGTACTCCAGTGAGACTTGGAGCTGCTTTGAAACTGTTTGAAAGGGCTCTTAGAATCCTTCTTTTTGGTGTGGTTCTGAGGATAGAATTGGAGCATATATGGTCCATTTTGGACCCAGATGACCCTTCTAGCCTCACTCCTTGGTCCTCTAAGGTCAGGAGTCCTACAACCATCTAAAACACTAAGCAGGGACTTAAGGGTGGGGCTACATATCAAGCCTGTAGGCTTGTGTTGTCTCCCATCTGAACTCCTTGAAAGTTGAGTAGTACTGGGGCCTGGAGAGATGGCTCCGAGGTTAAGAGCCCTGGCTGCTCTTGAAGAGGACCCTGGTTCGATTCCCAGCACCCACATGGCAGCTAACAACCAAATGTAACTCCAGTTCCGGGGGCTCTAACACCCTCTTCTGAATTCTGCAGGCATTGCATGACAGGGGTGCACTTACACACACATGCAGGCAATACACTCATACACATAAAATAAAAATAAATAAATATTTTATTTTTTATAAGCAGTACTTTCTTTTTTCTTTTTGTCCTGTATATCCCCCGGTATCTCATAGTGCCAGAAAGAGCTTAAGAAGTTGGTAGTGGCTGGGTGTGGTGGAGCATACCTTTAATCCCAGCACTCAAGAGGCAGAAGCAGGAGCCACCATGGAGCTGTTCTGAAGGAAAACAACAGCATTGGTCAATGATGCCTCTTCTGTATTTGAAAGCAAACTAGAGTGATTTGACCCTGGCTATTGGATGATCTACCTTTTCCCTGCAACTCCAGGAGGGCTATAGGACTGGTTCCGGGCCTCTGAAGCCGGTGATTGTGAAAGACCCTGTTCCCCTTTAGCAACAGAGACAGTGGAGGAGCACAGGACAGCTTACTGCTCCCCCTCACACATCAGAGAACGTTGGGGATACCTCCATGACTAGCCTGGCCATGTGGTCAACTTCTAACTGAGGGACTTGCTTCTGAAGGGAAATTCTACGAATACTTTGAAAATAGGTGTGCATTCCTAAAGGCAGTTGCTGGAATGGTACCCAAGGGAAATTTCATCTCTGATCTCACTTATCCCCTATACTTTTTCTGTATCCTCCTAGCCCAGCCCCAGTTTCCTCTACAATCATCTATGTTTGTGCTCCAAAGATAGAACCTGTTTATTCCTTGGAATATCCAACTGACTCTTGTATCCCAAGAAATCCAAGAGCTGACCATTGGGGTGTGAAAAGAAGACAGCACATCTCACAGGTACTCTTATCATAAAAAAAAAAAAAAAAAAAAAAAAATCAAATTGGGCCAGTGAGATGGCTCAGTGAGTAAAGGCACTTTCAGGTAGGTTTGACAATCTGAGTTCGATCCCCAAGACCCGCATGGTGGAAGAAGGGAACAAAAAGCTCCTGAAGTTTGTCCTCTGACCTCCACACACTTGCCATGGCTAATGTGCACACACGCACGTGTGCGCGCGCACACACACACACACACAGACACACGATCAAAACATTAAAAATATAAAAATAAAATTATCAGCCTGGTCTACATAGTGAGTTCCAGGACAGCTGGGGCTACAGGGAGACCCTGTCTCAAAAAGACTAAAAAAATTAAAAAAATATATTTTAATGAAATTATATTTATGATATAAAATTTGAACATGTGCAATAAATGGTTTCACATGGTGGGCCATACCCTCTTTTGGTAAATGATGGGCTACTTTGCTCAGTCTCATTGGAGACAAACAGCACACAGCCCTCTTCCAGACACAAATTTCCATCTCACTCATGCACAAACTCAGTTATTCTCAAATATGAACTTTGGAAAGAGGCAAACAGTGCTGGTGCTTTGCAAAGTGCAGAGCTAGTGTTAAATTGCCAGCCTGATATAATCAGAGCTGACCTTCGCCTGGTTTTGTGTGCATTTGGGTTTCTCCCACTTCTGCTTTGCCTGCACAAATAACACCAGTTTGGATGAGGTGGGGATATTAGCTTCGATATCAAAGAACACATTTCACTTTTAATTGAATACCTCATTCTAGAATGTGAGCCATATGCTACGGCTGCCTAGCAGCTGAACAGCAAGGATCACAAAGGCTAATGGCAGAGTCCGTCTCTCAGCCTCTCAAATACAGGTCCTGTCACATTAAATCTGTGTCCTACACCCTGTAGAAAGCCAAATTCTTGTTGATAGTTCCATACATTTCTGAGGACCTCTGACCTCATGAGAAGTTCTCTAAGCTCCATCTCCCACTGCCATTTCTTTCCCAATTTCATCCCATTTTTGTAACATGCTCCCTGCATCCATGTCTGTTTTCTGAAACTCCTTGACAGAAAGAACTTGATAATGAACTGCACTTCTCAGAGCAGAGGTATTGGGAGCTGCAAAATGTTACATGGGCACACCCAGGAATGGCCACCTGCTGGTTCAGGATACAAAGTTTGTGCGTACAAAGGGAGTAAGGGAGCAAGGATCACTAACTGGTCCTGGTCAGGGGAGAGCAGGGCCTGTGGACTTCAGGAACTCATTAAGAAGTGTCTATAGGAGGTTGGATGGCATGCGACTTGGAGAGCAGAGCCTGGATCTACCATCTTCCTGCAAGTGACATTCCTGCTGAGGGTTTGTTTGGGGCCCTATGGCGTCACCAATGTCTCACTCTTGGTGAGAATACCTGTTGTCTTATGTTTACATCTACTAAATTGATGGAGAAAATAATGAGGTTTTTAGGAGCCATGGGAGCTTGGCTTTAAAAACTGCTATATTTTGGTCCAGGCCAAAACGGGACCCTGGCTTCAGAGAGTTTGTCCCATTTATGTGCACTCTGCTGGCCTCCAGCCTGAACCTGAACTCTGCCATATGCGAATGTACCACAGGGTCTCTGCACCTTCCTCTGGAATATTCTGCCTGTGTCATTCAGCCATGGCTCTTGCTAAGAGCTCTAGAGCCAGCTACTCAGAGAGACCTTCTTGGACTTGCTGCCCTAAGTGACCCTCTGACTTCCAACCTCCATCTCCCTATTGGGTATCATTTTTCCATGACATGTACCATTCTCTAACATCATATACTCATGTATCTACTTTTTAATTTTCTTTCTTCTTCATTTGACAAGGCTTTTTTACCACTGCATTCCCAGCACATCAGATACATTGTTGAATGAGTGGATCAATGAATGAATGAATAAATAAATGAGGTATTAGACACAATGTTTGCCACAGAGAGAGCTCAGTGAATCAAATGGCTGTATGTGTATGTATGTATATGTTCTGGTGTGTGTGCCTGTGCACTTATGCCCGTGGGTGTGTAGAGGTGCAGAGATTGACACAGGGGGTAGTCCTCACTCATGCTCCACCTTATTTTTTGAGATAGGGTCTCTCATTGAACCTAAAGTTCGCCGATTTGGCTAGACTGGCTGGCCAGTGAGATCCAGGCTCCTTGTGTCTCTGCCTCCCCAGTGCTGGCATTATAGGCGTGAGCTGCTTGCTGTACCTGGCTTGTCCTTGGATTTTGGGGATCCAGTTCAAGTCCTCATGCTTGCTGCGCAGACACTTTAGAGACAAAGCAATCTCCCCATTGACCAAAGCATTTAAATGTATTATTATTATTATATTATTATTACGACTGCTACTACACTGAAGTAAACAGATAAAACATAACTCATTGTGAAGTCTACTGCTGCAACCCCGGCCTGATTTGGGATCTATCTTCCTGTACTCTCTCCCTTTATTTCCTTTCCTTCCTGGGCCTGCCCAGTAAATCTCCTCTTCTGTTGCTATTTTTCTGTCTTTCTCTCATGCCTTTGTTCCTGGGAGCCCAGGCCTCCCTCCCTACAGTAAGCTGTCAAGACAAGGAACACCCTGGCAATGATGATTGATGGCAGCTGAACAACTCCCAATGATTTTTTTGTGCCTGTGTTTATTTAGTAGGTTTAAGTTTCATTTAATCCAGTAAACAGATAAAACATAACTCATTGTGAAGTCTACTGCTGCAACCCCGGCCTGATTTGGGATCTATCTTCCTGTACTCTCTCCCTTTATTTCCTTTCCTTCCTGGGCCTGCCCAGTAAATCTCCTCTTCTGTTGCTATTTTTCTGTCTTTCTCTCATGCCTTTGTTCCTGGGAGCCCAGGCCTCCCTCCCTACAGTAAGCTGTCAAGACAAGGAACACCCTGGCAATGATGATTGATGGCAGCTGAACAACTCCCAATGATTTTTTTTGTGCCTGTGTTTATTTAGTAGGTTTAAGTTTCATTTAATCCTGAGGAAAGGTCCTGGATGCAGATTTGAGAGCCACAGAAAAGGCCTGCGGGCTTGGCTTGTGTTCCAGAAGCTCTGAATTGCTGGATTCTGGTTCTAACAGCATCCAGCCCGCCCACCCGGCTCTGCTCCTCAGGATTCTGAGATCTGCTGAGGCTCCTGTCCCCTCCCCTAACCCCCACCCCACCTCATTCCCTCCTTGCTGCTCAGAAGAGTTTTTGGTACTCCCTTTACCCTTTGCCCACTCTCAAGCCAACCTGGGAGGTCTGCAGAGGACTCTGCGCTAGGTTTCTTAAAGGGGCACCTTTTGGGGACAGTGGGGTGGAAGGGGGCAGACCCCAGGGGCATCTGAACAAGTCAGTACTGGACAACCATGTAGAATAATGCTTCCAGCCCCACATGACAGTGGAGCCTGCACAGTGGTGAGTGTTGGAGACCTTTCTGGTGTGCAGAGTATTCCCAGGCTCAGCAAGGTGGGCTCTGGGGTCCTGATGGACAGGGACAGTGGCTTCACTGTGGGCTGTGTTGCCTGATGCCCCTGATGCCAAGTAAAGTCATAAAATGTCTTGTTTTTTAACTGTTAACTAAGTTAGTCTTTAAAAATCTTGTGCAGACTTCAAAGCAACTTAACAGCACCCACACACACACCCCCAGCCCTTGACCTTGGAAAACCTCACCTGTAACTGCTTCTATGGTTTTAAAGATAACTTGCCACTTTTTCTTTTTAATCGAGAAAACAAACATTCTCACAGAAAGATATTTTATAGAAAATACAACTATACAAAGAAATAGGTGGCATCCTCCATAAATCTGCTATGCTGAGGAAAACACCTGTGATCCTATTAGAGCGCTGAACTCCACACTACTATAGAAGCATACCTTGTGCTCCTCTGAGCCTGTAGAACATGTAAAGAAGACAGACACTTGTCAGCATAGTGAATTTGCAAAGGAATTGCTCTGAGCTCTGTTAAGGGTAGATGAGAAAGTTAAGGAGTGTGGACAGAAAGGTCAGCTTCTGAGGAACAGGGAAGGGACAAGAGAAGCAGTCCTGTCTGGGGACAAGGGTGAGGGAAGGGTGTCAGGCCACTCGGTCTTGCCCCCATCCCTGCACGCTCACATGTGTTCTGTGATCACAGCCTCCAACAGCCTCCTTTAGCCCTGGAGTGTGGGACTGGATGTTTACAGATCCAGAATCCCTAGTGCAAGAAAACATAGGTACCCAACTCCAACCCCTAAGTGTCAGGAAAGTGGTCCCAGTGCAGCTAAACACCACCAAAAATCAAAATAGCTTTTACAAGTTGGTTCTTTTCCACTGTAAAATGTGGACATTGGCTAGCTCAGCTGGGGGTGATGTAAGGCGGTCCCAAAGAGTGTTCCTGTCAGGTCAAGTACTATGATTCTCTAAGTCCTGTACTGACAGAGAAAAAATAGCTATGCCTTCACTTACATCTACCCAGTTCCATGGAAAAGGTGCTGGTTCTGTTCTGCCAAAGATGATGGAGTTCGCAAGTACAAGAAGAAACATTTGGAATCCTTTAATACGGCGGGAAGATGGATTTCCAACACAGCATGTCAGGGAAGACAAACCTGAGCTAAAAAGATAGAAGAAAGATGGCTGCCTCATGGGTGCTGGAGCATGAGTTTCAGGGATGGTGCTACCAGTGATGAGGAAGAGCTAGGACACTTAGACAGCTTGGAGTTGGCCCGTTATCAGCTCTCTGTCTGATATTCAAACCTTCACTGACATAACTCTTCTAATGGGCCTATACACATCTGGCTTTCAGAAAGCAACATCTCACGATTTAGATAATGCTCCCAGTTCTTTCCCCTCAGGTAGGACAAGTGTGAACTTTGCCATGACCACTCCTCCAATCTCCTAACAGGACAGAGCCCAGGTCATCCACAGTGGTTACTTAATGGTGACAAACTCCACTGGCTGCTTCGCTTTCCTTCCGTTTCCCACCACTCCCCTCTACTCTCGCCCCTCTTCCCTTCCTCCCCCCTCTCTTCTTCTATCCCACCCCTTCCTTCGTCTCCCTTCTCCTGTCCTTTCGCCTTCCTTCCTTCTCCCTCTCTCCGGTCCCCTCTCCCCCGTCTTCCTAGCCATTCTTTCTCTTTCCCTCTCTACTCCCTACCTCTTGCTTGTGCTTCCTAAAGTAACTTCCTAAATAAACTTACTGTCCTCATAATCTTTTGAGGCAAAGTTCCACTGTGTAGCCCATTCTGTCCTGGAACTTGATATGTAGATCAAGCTGCCTTTGATCTCACAAAAATCGGCCTGCTTCTGATTCCCAAGTGCTGGAATTAAAGGTGTGCACCATCACGTCCTGCCTATATCTTTGTTTCTTGATGGTCTCTGGGGGACACTAGTCTAGGCCACTGCCCGATGCACTGGTTAAAATTCATCCTTCAGGACTGCATGTAGAAAACACCTCTTCCTGGAATCTTCCCTTGCTCTCTTCCCTGACACCCAAGTTTGGATCAGGAGTATTTCCCATGGGCTCCCTACACACACAAGACACTCAGTTTTGTTCCTTAACAGATAGAGCATCTCCAGAAAATAAACACACATGAGGATGAAGCAAGAGAATACCCCACTGTCCCCCAAAAGCATCACAGAACTGTTCCAGCTCCACGCTGCCCCAGCCTTACCTCTCACCGAGGTCCTCCCACTTCTGGAGCACCTATTGATCAGTGCTCTCTGGGGACAGTTATGTTGACAATTTGGTTTTTCTCAGAAACACACAGCACAAACAACCTTTCAGATGTAGTCCAGCCTCCATTGCTCAACGTTAGTTCTTTTTCCTGGAAATATCTGAGAGGGAAGGGCTGTTAATTACCGATAAGTCATTACTCTGGCCACATTGGATACATGTGCACACCATGGACAGTGAACTCTAAACTTTGAGAGTTCAGTCTTCTCTTTCAGCACTTTCTTGTCCGGGAAGCTGTGAGGCAATTTCCTTACCACTAGTACTTATGCCCCCAAAGTGGCCTCCCCAAATTAATGTCCCCCAAGCACCATAGCATTGATTTGCATCCCCGTAGTTCAACCAAAAGTACTTGAAAAGATCTTCAGGGGTCTGAACTTGAAATTACTGTATCTATAAACAAGGTCGGATTAATTATTTGGCCTGAATCCAAAGCAAATGAACTGGTGTTCATCGTAGCTACAGGTGAATAAGCTTACCCTCATCCATAGTAGTTGGGTGGGAACTACTCCCTCCCTACCAGGACATCCATCTTCTGAGCAGTTTGCAAGCTAACATTCCCTGGAAACTGAAACCATATGAACAGAGATTTGTTTTCTAGAAACAAACCACAAGAATAACAAATACACAATGAAAATTGAGGTGCAGCCTCTGGAGTCTTTAGAAGAAGAAAGCTGACCCTATCATCATTATAAAAAGACTGTGGAGCTCTGCTAAGTGTAGGGGACTAACCCCGGATGGGGAAAGACCCAAAAAACCATTCACAAAACACCCCCTCCATGAGGAGTTACTGTACTGAACTTCCCACAAACTTGAAAAGGTGGGATCAAGCCAGTAACACCCTCTGTGCCAAAGCTCAAGGCTGGCTGCTTTCTATGGCACATGACACATGACAGGAGTTCAGTGCTCAGTATTCAGAGGTGGGATGAGCAGGTTGCTAATTAATTTTTTTTTCCTGCATCTTCAGGCTATTGAGCTGGATCATTCTCGATAGGGGCTGATAATTAAGCTCTGAGCTCTGGTGGACACACACATCCACACACAGTTATACAAGTTGGGAAACAATAGTCCAAAGACAGGAAGGTAGGGAAATACAAGGAAAAGAATGGAAATAGTGCCTGCCCAGCCTACATTGTGTGAAGCCAGGTCCAGGCAGAGGCTGGAGACTGTTGTAAACAAGAGATCTGAGCAGGTGCTCAGAGAACAGCTGTCTTAAACACAGAGAAAGCCCGAATGAAAGGCAGTGTTTACTGAGGATTGCATTTACCTGTAACATAGCTTGAGCATCATTTATGCTCCAGCTAAATCCTTCATTCACATGAGGAGTTCGTTCTTCTCTCTGTCCCTACTACACATCAATACATTCTACTATGCATGTGAAACAGTGCAGGGTTGAGCTCTGAAGTCTTTGCCCTGACGTTGGATAATCTGTTGGACAAATGGAGTGACCAGGTTAATGAAGCTTTGGATCTGTCTGTCCATCTGCCTCCACTTCTCAGTTAGTAAAGGATTGCATAGAAGTCAATCCTGGTGTGGCCTCTGTTCAGGCAGAGGGAGATTAAGCAAGCTGCAACAGAGACTCTTCATGTTGAAGAGACCCATACTAGGGGCCCTGTCTGTTAAAGGCACTTAGTGAATTTGTAAGAGAGGAGATATAAACCTTGGGGAATCCTAGGAATATGGGGTGGGAGACTGGGAAAGGCTAGACTATGCCTATTGAGGCCAAATTCAGACATTCTAGATATCACAAGGCAGCTGACCTCTAAGAAACTTCCTCTTGTTGGACTGGTATGGCAAAAGAAAGAATATTCATGAAGACCTGAAAGCTCCACCTTAAAACCTCTCCTTTTTTCTTTGTGCAGCGATGAGCATGACAGTCTCCTTCATTCCCTCCAACTAAAACAACACAACTAATAGAGAAACAGGGAAAGAATCCAGATGCCTTGGCTAAATCAGATATCTGGGATATCTGCAAAAAATTTTTAACATGATGATTGCTTTTGTTTAAGAAAATCCAGTAATTTTTATTTAAAATTATGTTGTTCATATTAATACTTAATGGGTTCATTATTGCTATTTTGAGGTAAATCATACATAAATATTTTATTTACCACACACAAACATTGATGTCAGTAGACATCACCCATGTGAACAAAATCTCTCTGGGGTCTTCTTTATTTTTCTTTGGTCTCCCTGTAGCCCCAGCTGGCCTGGATTTGCTATGGAGACCAGGCTGGCCTCAAACTCACAGAGATCCACCTGCCTCTGCCTCCCGAGTGCTGGGATTATAGGCATGCACCACCAAGCCTGGCTGGGGTCTTCATTTTTAAGAATGAAGAGACCCTGGATGCAGAGTTATCCAAGTTCTCATCCAACCTAGCTTGATAATAAAGAGTGGGACCTTTGGTCTACCGGGATGGAACCCAGGACCTCATACATGGTTGGCAAATGCTCTATCACTGACCTATATCCCCAGCCCTAAAGGTCTAGACCTAGAAAAATACCTTTGAGAAATCTCAGAAGGGTTCTGTCTAGCCTATCAGCCAAGAACTGAGTTTCTCCCTTGACTAAAAGCTTATACATGGCTGAACCATGTCTGCACAGCAAGGAAAAAACTTAGTATCAGTTACCTGTTTCCCAAGTAGCCCCTTCTCATTTTAAGGAAGGGGCTTCTGTGAGTATGTCAGGGAAGGACGGATGCACAGCAATTCCCAAGGCCTTCCTTCACCTGTGGTCAGCCTCTTGCAGGATTGCTCTAACACCCACATGTGGAGGAGAGTGCATAAAAGAGCAAACACAGAGCAAATCAAATAGTCCCCAGCCCTGCTCTGCAGAAAGATCACAGAACTAATCCAAGGCAGGATCTGCGTCTGCTTGGGTTCCCTGAAGTGGGCAAGTTCCAGATACAAGCTGTGCTGGTAGGATGCCCCTCATCTCCCACTGCCAGGCCCTGCAGGAAGGAGCACCCCATTTGTTGCTGTCTATGATGACTAGCATGGGGTGTAGTGTAAGCCCTGATCCCACTGACCCTTGGATTACTGAAGGACCAGAGCTTGCACTCCATCTAGTTTCTGCTAGAGCAGTTGCAATTGTTTCCTGGGTTAAAAGAAAGTTTCCCTGGTATATTTTCCTCTGTCTACTATGGGTAATGACCAGAGGCTATGGAGAGATTCCCAGGTGCAGAAGCCATGCTCAGACTTGAAGATGCAGAGGTTTCATAGTCAGAACCTGAGAATATATGGGGTCAATGGCAGCTATTAATGTTGTTCAGCTCTGCCAAGACAGGTGTTCTGTCCTCAGACTCCATCATGCCAACAAACTGCTTTCCTCACACAATCTGGCTGAGTGAGTCTGTAGAACTCTCACCTAGTTTTTAAACCAAGAAGATGGTGGTCATAGTCTCCTGTGATTTCTTCAACGTATCTTGCTTCTTCACTTCAGAGCATAGCATCCTTATAAGCGCTTTAATTCTCAGTGAACGCAAAGCATTCACTGGTTATCTACTGTTACCCCTGTGATTTCAAGCTACATCTTTATAAAGCATTTAATTATAAAGAAAAGCTGTACAGGTTCCTTGATTTAAAGGGGGTGAGGGGAATCTTAAAAGAAACCATCTTTATCTGTTATGAACACACAGAAGCTTAGGCCTATGTTCAGTTGTTTCCCTTGAGGTAACCACAGTGCTTCAGTCCTCAAGATTTTAATCATGCATTTATTGTTCTGTTCAGCAAATTCCATGATGTCTTCTAAGCCATGGAGTTAAAGACTGTGAAGGAAATAGTCTAAAATATAAATTGTGGAAAATTCAGCAGAAAAAATTACCATCACTTCGTTAAAATAATCTAGTGTTACACAGAAGCTGGCTTTTGAACTTAATGAGCCCGCATTCTATGGATGATTATTATAAAATTCAGTAACTTGTCAAGTCATATTAAATTTTCCAAAGAATGAGGAAAGGAAAGGAAAGGAAAGGAAAGGAAAGGAAAGGAAAGGAAAGGAAAGGAAAGGAGGAAGGAAAAAAGGAAAAAGGAGGGAAGGATAAGTGGAGGAAAGGAGGAAAAAGTAGGATGATGCCGTCTCTGTTTCTAGGTCTCAAACACATACTTAATAAATATCAATTTCTTTCTTTTTACCCCAAATTCAGGTGTTCTTTTCCCTTTTATTTTCTTTCCTCTGGCCATGGGTGCCACACAGAATTAAATGTTTATCATGAAATAGACCCAGGGACTGGGTCACAGAGATAAAAGATGCTGAATGCTGAGGCTCCAAGGGAGTGGTTGATGGATGAATCCCAGCTCTGGGGAGTGTGCTTTAAAAGGATACACCTGCCTACAGGTGGTTAAGCAGAGACCCGCTTCTATACAAGGGACAGCCATAAATCAAAATGAGATAAAAGCATTTAAAACCAACAAAGCAGGCAACATTTTTGAGTAATTGAGCCTCGTTTTAAAAAGGCAGAAATGTCTGTGTTAGTCCTTGTCTTTCAAACATTATTCTGTTTGGTTAAGCTATACAAACACGGGGGTTCTGATGTAAGCAAGACTTTTTCTTTTTGTATGTTGTACATAAATGTCTTTAATCTTTTGAGTTAGGAATTTATTGGTTGAGTCTTTATGAGTAAATTCAGCAAAGCTCCGAGATGTTTTTCCTGCAAAAAAGAAAGAAAGAGACAAAGAAGGGCCAGTGAGGTTTAAACCCCAAAACTAAACTGAAAAATAAAATTTTAAAAAATGATTTTCTGGAACAGTGTAGGTGAGAGTCCAGCTGACTTTTAACTGCTTAACCCTGGGCCCAGGTAAATGTGCCTCGGGTCAGGTGGGGGAAAGGGATTTCAGGTGAGCTGACCAGTTGCAAAAACTTCAGCAACAACTTACAAAACAAGCCCACACCACCACAGTCAGCCCTCACTATCATGTCCTGGCCACTTGTTTAGTTCTTTTTTTCTGTTATTTCTACCAGTGTCTGGTCAAGGCCATGTCTCATC